AAAAAAAAAATTCTCTCTCTCTCTCTCTCTCTCTCCTTTCTCATTCTCTCTTTAAAAAAAAAATGACACATTAATTTTAAGGGAACAATGATTCAAATTACTTGATTTATCAGAAATTCTTGAGGCCAGAAGGAAGTGACACACTATTTTAAATTTTTTTAACTGTCAACTCAGAATTCTATATCCAATAAAAAAAATCCTTCAGGAATTAAGATGAAATTAAGAAAATCCAAGGGCATTCATTGCTTTCAAACCTGCCCTAAACTAATTGCTAAAGAAAGTTTTTTAAAAAGAAAAAGCACCAGAAAGTAAAGAACATTTGGTATTCTGTCCCTCCACCCAGGGGATTGAAACTGGGGATTGAACCCAGGGAGTTCTACCACCGGCCTACATCCTCAGCCCTTTTTACTTTTTATATTTATGCAGGATCTATGTCACCCAGGTAGGCCTTGAATTTGGGATCCCTCCGCCTCACCATTCTCTGGGATTGTAGGTATGCAATACTACTTGCTGCTAACTTCTTGTATTCTTAAAATGTGTTTGACAGTTGAAAACATTGTGGTATAGGATTTCAGTGTATGTAAATGTGACCAATAAGACAACTGAAAATAGGGCTGGGGTTGTAGCTCAGTGGTGGAGCGCTTGCCTCACTCCTGTGAGGCACTAGGCTTGACCCTCAGCACCACATAAAAAAAAAATAAAGTTATTGTATCCATCACAACTTGAAAAAATATTTTTTTAAAAAAAGACAACTGAAAATAAACAGGGAAAGTAAAAGGTCCAATATTGTGCTTTCTATATAATGTACTGGAAAAATATTTTTTCTATATACACTTTGAAAAGTATATTTATTGTAACATCTCAAGAACCCCCCAAAAGGAAGCTATACAAAGAAATATAGAAAAAACTAAAAATTTAAATTCAAATTTTTAAAATATGCTCACCTGATCCAAAAAAGGGAAATGATAAATTGAAAATAAAATAAAATTAAATAGTAAACCTGAATAAAAACATATAAAATAATAAATTCAAACATACTAATAATTTATTAATTAATTTAAACATATCAATGAAAAGATTGTTTTTCTGGGTAATGCTTTTTCTTCTTAACCCAATCGATCAACAAATATGTAAAAAAATGTTCAACATCTCAACATCTCTAGCAATTAGAGAAATGCAAATCAAAACTACTAAGATTTCATCTCTCTCCAGTCAGAATGGCAATTATCAAGAACACAAGCAACAATAAATGTTGGCAAGGATATGAGGAAAAAGTACACTCTTAAATTGCTGATGGGACTGCAAATTGGTGCAATCATTATGGAAAAGCATTATGGAGATTCCTCAGAAAACTTGGAATAGAACTTTCATTTGGCCCAGTTATCCCACTTCTTGGGATATATACCCAAAAGACTTAAAATAAGCATAGCACAGTGAGGGAACCACTCAATTCACAATAGCTAAACTATGGAACCAACTTAAGTGCCCTTCAACAAATGAATGGATAAAGAAATTGTGGTATATACACACAATGGAATATTACTCAGCCTTAAAGAATGAAATTATGGAACTTGCTGGTAAATGGATGGAACCAGAGAATATTATATTAAGTGAAATATGCCAGTCCCAAAGAACCAAGGGCTGAATGTTTTCTCTGATACGCAGGTGCTAATTCACAATAAAGGTGGGGGGAATAGAGGTACTTTGTATTAGACAGGGGGGAGTGAAGGGAGGGTAGGGGGTATGGAGGTAGGAATGACAGTAGAATGAGTCAGACATTATTACCCTATGTGCATATGTGATTACATAACCTGTGTAACTCTACATTATGTACAACTAGAAGAATGAGAAGTTATACTCCATTTATGTATGATGTGTCAAAATGTATTCTACTGTCATGTATAACTAATTAAAACAAATTAAAAAAATTAAAACATTACCCAAACATTCTTACTTGTTTATGCTGTCTACAAGTAAGTCATGTCAAATATGATATAATAATGTAAAAAGTTGGATAAAATATTTACTATCAAAAGGATATTGGAGTGGGTATATTAATATCAGACAAATGAGATTTCAGAACATGGAATATTTTGGAGAATAAAGACAAAAACACAATAATAAAAGAATATAGGCACCAAGAACAAAACTATTTAAATGTGTACACAACTAAAAGCAGCTTCAAAATACTCAAAGAAAAATTCACAGACCTGAAAGAAAAAGATCAATGACTAAAGGTAAGTACTTTAATACTTCTTTTGATAGTATAACTTGTGGACAGATGATCAACAAAGATATAAAATAATTCAAATATCATCAAACAGCTAGATATAATTTACATCTATGCAATATTCCAACACCAACAAATTAGTACTCTTTTCAAATACATAATGGAATATTTACAAGATAGACCATATATTCAGTCATAAAGCAAATCTGATTAGATTTAAATAACAGGAATCATGCAGAATATATACTTAGGCCTTGAATTAAACTGGTAATCAATACTGTGTTAATATCTCCAAATGTTTAGACATTAAACATAAATAATCCATAAATCATCAATCTTATTTAATAAATCATAAATCTTATTTCAAGAGAAATAAGAAATTTCTAACTAAACAAAATGAAAATGCAACATAAAATTTGTAGGATGAAATCACTTGAAGGGAAATAACATTAGAAAGGAAGACTTATGCTTGTGTGTTAAACTAGAAAAAGAAGAGTAAATTAAACCTAAGGCACACAGCAGAAGCCACTGAACTAAAAACAAAGATAACATGGACATGTGATACAGAAAATTCAGAAACAAACAAAAATCTGGTTGTTAGAAAAAATTACCTGTGTTCCAAAAGTGGTTCTAGGCCTTAGTTGAACCTTGTTTTTGGCTCACATGTCTTATCCTTATTTAATTGCTAGGTAATTCTCACTACCAGAAATAGAAGATACTTTATATGGTAAACATAGCTTGCTGAGACAACCCAGTCTGTATTTGGGAGTCTGAGGAATATTTTCTGGGTCCATGATTGATCATGCTAAAATTAACTTTTGAAGTTAGAAGTGAATGATAGAGAGCATTGAAGACACCATAAACAAGAACACTTGAGTATTGTTCCATTGTTTCTGACAACTTGGTGTGTGGGAGATACTATGTAAACATGTATGTATGGTTGAATTGTCTAAATCATTGCAAAATTGAGACTGAATAAAGATGAAATTTAGATAATTTTGTACTTAAAATGTGAATTTATATTTGTACTTTGAAATTAATCAATAAAAGTGATACCCTGAAATTTCACAAACTTTCATTCTTTGATTCTGAGAATAATATGTTCTCAACCATTAATGAAGTCTGCAATTCTTTTTAATTTATGCTTTTTTGTTGTACATGGAAATTTTGGAAATTTGGGTTCCTACATTTCAATAGTACTCATAATTTCATTTCTTCCTGTAAAATAAAGGTAAAGGGTGGGGGGTTTAGCTAGGTAGAAGAGCGCTTATCTAGCATGTGTGAGGCAATGGGTTCGATTCTCAGCACCACATACAAATAAATAAAAATAAGTAAATAAAGGTCCATCAACAAGTAAAAAATATTTCTTAAAAAGAAGGTAAAATGGCATTATGCTATATCCCATTCTGATTTATATTTTACAATAAGTAATATAAATCAAAGTGGGACTATTAAACAGTATGCACAGAATAAAGGCAAGCAAAAATCAAAATTCCATTCACTTCTCAAATGAATGTATTAAAAGTTCCATCTTTACATGTATCAACTTATATTTGTTCATTTATCCATCTAAATAAGATACAGTGATTGAAATAGGTTTTCCTTGATGATAAAGAAAAATAATGAAAATGGTAGAGGGGCTGGAGGTATAGCTCAGTGGTAGAACTCTTGCCTATCTTGCTTGAAGCCCTGGGTTTGATCCCTAGCACTTGGGGGGAAAAAGTGATAGTGAATGTATGTTATAACTCATTCCACAAAATAACCAGATTGGTAATTAAAAATATGAAAAAGGTATATAATTTCTCTTGTCCTGCTTCCAATCCATCTACAAATCTTGGTATTGGACTTAACATGCTTTCCAATAATATTTCTCTGATCTATAATGCTGTAAACTCTTCTAGAACTCGAATCTGTTTGTTCCCTTATCCTCACCAACTGTGTTCCACTTATACATCAATCACAAATTTAAGTAAAATCAGGTAAAATGTATTTACTCCCCCGCCACCCCCCCCCCCCACCCCCCGTACTAGAGATTGAACTCAGGGCTTCAAGCATGCTAGGCATGTGCTCTTACTACTGAGCTAATATTTCCTTCTTTATCAATCTGTTAACCAGGATTTATTTATTTTTTGTTTGTTTATTGCTGCTGAGTTTCATTACTTTCTTTGATATTTTAGCTATTAACCCCTTGACAAATAAATGGTTTGCAAATATTTTCTCCAGTTTCTAACTTACTTTTCATTTTGTTTGTTGTCTCTGCCGTATAGAAGCGTTCTAGTTTGATGTAGTCACTTAGTTTTGCTCTTGTTACTTGTGTTTTTGATGTCAAATCCAAAAACAAAAACAAAAAACAAAGAAACATTGACCAGACTGATA